CGAAACAAAAAAACAGGCTCCTCATTGTTATCTTACAATTACTAATTCAAGCTTATGTTATTGATCTAGAGTCCGCAGCCATCCTTGGCAACTATCAAACTACTTTCTTCTACTAGCTTTAAAAAAAATTATATGAATTTTAAAATGCATATTTTGTATTCATATGCTGTAATGTGAACAATTGGCTATTTTCAAAAATTAGGAGAATAAAAGGTGTTGACTAGTACAGTCCAGTTTTTATTTTGAAGCATGTGGAGAAAATGAATCCATGGATAAATGATAACATTAGAGCTGGTAGGAAATGTCCTGATGCACTGGTAGGAAATATCCTGAGCCGCCCTGAGTAGACATTGTCTAGAGGGGCGGGGTAAAAATCTAATAAATAAATAATAAATAAATGAGGCACTAGAATTAGCCAAGTTTTTATCTGTGCTGTTTCTTCTCTCTATACACAGTACAGTGGTGCCTCGCTTAACGGGCGCCCCGTTTAACGACGAAATCGCATACAAACTTTTTGCAATTGCTTTTGCAATGTTTTAAATGGGGAAAAATCGCTTTACGATGATCGGCACCCTGTTTTGCTCACCGATTATCGCAAAGCGATGATTTTCTAACAGCTGATCGGCAGTCCCAAAATGGCTCCCAGGTAAAAAAAAATGGCCGCCCGCTGTGTTTAGGGATGGATTCCTCACTTACCGGGCAGCAAAAATGGCCACCATATGGAGGATCTTCGCTTAAAGGTCAGTTTTAAGCCCATAGGAACACATTGAAGGGGTTTCAGTGCATTCCTATGGGCTTTATAAAATCGCATAGTGACGAAATCGCTTTGCAGCGATTTTTGCTGCACCCATTAATGTCGTTATGCGAGGCACCACTGTATACTATGCATATAAGCACTGTATGTTGCATTAAGATGGCTTCTGGAATTTGGGGAGGGGGGTTACTTATTGTGTGAGAAACGAAGTTTGATTGTACTTCCATCCAAATTAAAATTACTTTGCTATTTATATCTATTCATTAGTTACTTATATCTATTCATTAGTTATTAATTAGTTATTTATATCTATTCATAAATTACCATATGACATTTCATGCAATTCTCTTGAAATCTTCTATGCTTTTCTTGGTGGGGGAAGAGGTGCATTTCCCCTTTTTTCAGTAAAGTGCAAGTGGGTCTCCTAATCCCTGATCTCCTAATCCCACCCAAGACAACCATCTTGTGAAAACAGCCATAGCCTTTTACAAAAACTTCCAAACATACCTGCTCCAGAGATTTGAGACCTCTTGTACAAACTAAGGCTGCACACAGCAAGGTTTCAAAAGTTTGTTTCCCAAGGAAGTGGGGTGGGGTTAAAGGGGAAGCAGTTGTGATGGCTCCCCCCCACTTTGGGCAGAATTCCCAACAACATCCATGGATCAGGTTTTTCTAGTTACAGAAAATGTATTGCATACTTCATACTTCAAGTCAAGGGACAACTAGTCATTCAACCTAATCAAGCTGAAATGTGCACTCAGTGAGCTTATAATGAGACCCAGCAGTCAACTGAATGAATTTCCCAGTTCAATCAGTTATTCGTCAGTGTTTTTATCCCAACACTTGTCAGCCTCATTAGAATGAGTTTTCCCTTTTAAAAATGCTATTGGCTTATTTTATTCACTGTTTTCATTGACTGTGTTCTTAGTTTTTTTTCCTTTCCTTTGTATATTGTTATTCTGTGTCAAGGATCTTCTGCTCACTGTTCATCTCTTAGGAAAAGAGAATGGCAGCTTATACTCCATTGGCAGTAGTTTACTTCTAAACCTGAGACAGAAGACGTGATGGCAACTATTACCGTATTTTCCATGTATAAGACTATACTTTTGTCTAAAATCTTTAGACTGGAAATTGAGGGTCATCTTATACACGGAAGCAAGCTGAGGAGAGAAAAAACCAAGTGGAGGGGAAAGCAGGGATCAAACTGATCCTGCAGGGCTTTGATCCCTGCTTTCCCCTCCACCTGCTAAGCCTTAGCAAAAGGAAAGCAGGGATTGAAGCGCTGCAGGATGGGTCTGATCCCTGCTTTCCCCTCTGTTTACTAAGTCCCATGGGGCTTAGCAAAAGGAGGGGGGAAAGGATCAAAGCAATCCCATAGCTGTATAAGGGGGAAAGGGATCAAAACGATCATGCAGTTGCGGAATTGCTTTGATCCCTTTCCCCCTCCATTTGCTAAGCCCATGGGGCTTAGCACGAAGGGAGAAAGCAGAGATCAAAGCAATCCTGTAGTGCTTTGATCCCTTTCCCCTACACTTGCTAAGCCCCACTTAGATTTCTTAATTTGGGGTTAGAAAAATGGGGGCGTCTTATACACGGAAAAATATGGTGAATTATAAACACAACTAGCAACCATTTGACTTTTGGAAAGGTCTTTGTAAAAGAACAAACTAGACTGCCAGTAAACTGAGACAAATGAATCCCAAGGTCTGGAGCAATAAAAACAAAAACCTTCACCAGAAATAACCTAACTAGACAAAAAATAAAAAATAAAAATTAAAAAACATCAGCAACTTCAGACTGCAACTCCCAAAAGCCTTCACCACCAGCTATACTGGCTGGGGTTTCTGGGAGTTGCAATACAAAAACACCTGGATTAGCTAAGGTTGCAAACGGCTGGAATGGAATATCCTGAAAGAAAGCATAGCTGGATGTTGAATGAAGGGTTTATTCCAAGCACTGCATATCCATTTATGCAGAATTTTAGTGGTGCCTCGCATAACGAGCACCCCGTAGAGCGATTAAATCGCTTAACGAGGGGCTCTTGGCCATCGCTGGAGCATTCGCTCAGCAATGGCCCCTATGGAGGTTTTTCGCATTGCGATATTCGCTAAGCGATTCGCTTAGCGAATATCGCATAACGAAGTGGGTGAGAACAGCTGATCGGCAGTTCCAAAATGGCCGCCGGAAGGTCCCCGCTGCATTTTCGCGCCCTGCCCTCGCTTACCGCGGGCGCGAAAATGGCAGCGCTATGGAAGAACTTGGCACAACGGTGAGTTTTCAAGCCATAGGCTTTTTCAAGCCTATGGCTTTTTTATTTCTGCACAGCGATGTTTCCCATAGCGAGGGTTAATCCGGAACGGATTAACCTCGCTATGCGAGGCACCACTGTACTTCCTTTGGAGGAAAACCTGCATCTGTATGTAGCACAATTTTTAAAAAAGAGCTACAGTTTAAAAATGCAGGCAGAAGCAAAGGAGGGTTGCCCCAGAGGCGAGAGAAAAAAGGATAGCCAAGGAAGAAAAAAAATGAGTAAAAAGCTCTAGAGAAAAGCTAGTGGTAGAGAGGAAGAAAATGAACTGCCCTGTAAAAAAACTATTCGTCCTTGGTTCAATTAATCCTAACACAAAATCAACATAATCTGTCAGGCACACCAGCAGGTTAATAATGAAGCCTGAAATTTCTTACTTAAATTCTAGACACAGGAAAGATGACACATTCCAGGCCAGCGTGAATAGAGCACTACTAAACCTCTTTGTTCCTCCCTCACTCTTACAAAAATCATTTTTGTCCCTCACACTAGTGCTGCCCCGTTTACTTGCTCACTCAGGGGACAAGTAGGATGCAGTTACCAGCAACCTATTCACTTTAGCTTAGTAAGTAGGATCCTTGCCAAAATGTTGTCTGTATGCAACCTTTGTACGAGGAACAGGTGCGGAGACACACCTGTGAATAAGGAAGTGATGCATCAGGGAGGGTCAACTGTACACACTTCAGCCTCCCATACTTCCCAGGTTGAAGTCTTCAACTTCTCCAAGCTATGTATACAGTTTCCCCAAACATGCCAGACTGAAACCTCCCTTTTGCCCAGTTCTAGGCAGGGATTTCCAAAAAGTAGCTCACACCCAAATAGAGTACCTGAAAAGTGTTCAGAACAGCAGTCACATCATGTGATTTCAGGGCTTTTCACTGACCTGACAAGGAGGCATTTATTAATCCCACTTTATTTAAGACTTAACACATGACTACCTATTATATTGATTAAAGGGTATTAATTTTATCCTATATCTTAAAAAACCTTGATCAATCCAAATGCCTTGAGAGAAGCAAAGCATGGGCATTGCATTCTTCTGCCAATCATTGTTTAGATCCATAGGCAAATTTAAAATTATTTTCAATTCTGGTTTTAATCTTGATACATGTTTGTTTTTTACAATATTTTATAAGTTTTTTTAAATGTTGATTGTTGTATGATTTTAATTGTGAGTCACCTTGGTCCCCTATGTGGAGAAAGGTGGCATATAAATATAAAGAAAAAAATTCTGTTGTCTCTCTGATTTAACTGCACATTACTGGGTGTGCTGCCTGTTGTATCAAATGTGGATGGTTGCCATACTCAATCTTCAATATAGACTGCATCTACTGAAATTAGTCAGCTTTGATGTGGCTAAAACAGATGAAGCCTGGTAAAACTGAAGTAGTTATGACCAGGAAGTAGACAAATGATGCAGGGAGGAGTGGGGCTAGAAAGGTACATTCATCAAATGACATCCTTGCATTGTAAAGCTAGAAGAAGGCTGAAGTTCAGAACAATGCAATGACTAGAACAAGGTAGAAAAATAGCAAGTAGGATCGGTCAGGAAGATTTTATCTGTTCATAGCTAAACTTAAAGTTCAAGAGAACCAGGAATAGAGTACTCCAGAATACTCACAAGCATTAGGAGGTGAATGACTTGGTTTAAAAGGGGGGCATTTGAAAAAATTTCCACAGCACTGATTCCTAGACAAGTGTAAGCAATAAACCAACCTTCTATGCATTGCTGTATTATAGCTGATGCAAGACAAAGGAATGGACAACATAAAAAAGCAGCCAAACTATTTAAAATACTAAATTTTATTTTCACATTTACATTTAGTCTTCCCATTTCCATTTTCTGACCACCACTAGTATGCCTTATCAAAACATTCCATACATATTTGAAACAAAAAGGGTGGAGTCCCAGTCTTTAAAAAAAAAGCTGAACAGGTATTTTGAACAACACATTCTTGGCAAAACAATCTGGACGACATTAATCAGACTGTAGGGAAAGCTTTAGCATTTATAAAAAGGGTAGCCAGATATTAATGGTTAAACACACAGGACTGTAACTTTAAAAGAGCCATTTAACTTCTTGCTTACAGAGTCTGTCTCCACTGCCAGAGTGCTTGAATAACCTAAAAGATAAAAAGGAAAAGCTAAGTTTGGTCTAGGTCTTCTCAAACAGACTGCATTCAGGCTGTCATCCTACACATCCCTCCTAGAATACTGAGATGCCATGAACACTGCAGAATCTACTCCTAAGTAAAGAAACAGTTTTATAATGGAGGCATTATTTAGAACAAGTTAATCAGGCAATGCCTACAGAAACATGTTATGGGCACAGAATTATGCACCAAAAGTATCTTTCATTTATGTACAAGGTTGACAGAAAAGTAAATAGCAGTCTAAGTCTGTGCTAATTTTGAAAAATGCTTACCAGATACACTATTCTTAACACGAAATATTACTTGACATTTTGCCTTTCAAGGCTGTTCACACCCTATAAAGTATAAAACAGGAAAACAAAACGAAGGGTGTGTCTTAGGCAAATACTGTCTGAACTTTGCCTGCCCTCCTTTGTATCCAAGTCCACTTCAGTAACTGAACCAGTCACTTTCAAACTTTCTCTTTCAAGAGGCTATGATTCCCCCTAACTGTCTGGAAGAAGCAGAAATTCATAACAATTTAAAGAAATTTTGATAGTGAAATTTAAGATTTGCAGGTCTAACTAAATGAAACTTACTTACTGATACCAGCACAAGCACCTCTTGGCATACTTTCACACAGTAATTTGGTTGATTTTGGGAAAGGAAAGCCTAAAGGCTGCCGAAGAATCTAAAGCAGTAGTTCCTCTCTGTAAAAGGAAACTGACTGGTACTGCTGGCCAAATTCAGCAGTGGAAAACCAGATCACCATTTTGTCAAAATCGTACTAATTTAGAGAAAGGGCTCACTGATCATCTCAATGGTGGTGGGGGGAGGTACCTCCCCCACAATCACCACTATGATACAGACCTGGCTTACCTAAACTAATAATTGTGGTCTGCTGAATCCTAAGTGTACAGAAACTGACTAAAAAATGTGGCGAATTCCTTTACCTTCTGGTCTTCTGTCCTGTAGCAGTTCTTAACATAATTTGCAAATTTGGCTTCTGCTTTAGGAAGAATAGTTCCCTGTAGCATAAACAAAATTATGACACAGATTTCAATAATATTACAATCATAACAGTAAAATTCCTTGATCAAAAGATATTATCTGTAATCCACTGAATTTGCCTGGGTTACAGAACTGAAGCTCTACTCAACTATTCGGCAATAACTCAGAGGTATGTGAAGCACAAGTGTTTAAAGCAAGGATCTCCAACTTATGGCCTGTAGGCCACATTCGACCCGCCTTGCCTTTTTATCCAGCCTGACATGCGGGAGGGCGCATACATGCAAGTGGATGTACACATTCAGCCTTCAAAAATCTGGCATATATTGTGGCCCTCACTTTGAAAAGTTTGGAGACCCCTGGTTCAAAGGATTCTCTGTAAATACATTCAGCTGAACATAGTCATACAACTCACATGATGTGGGACCCAAACGTATCAGAGTTTCTCCATATATTTTCTAGGTGCATGGACATTTCAGGGTGAAGTTTCCAAATACACAACATCTGAACTTGGCTCAACTCTCCTAACGTGACATTGCAAAAGCAGCTTGAAAGGGCTAAATCTAATATTAGCTCTACTTATAGCTATGGTTTTTCCAGTAGCGATGTATGGAAGTGAGAGCTGGACCCCAAAGAAGGCTGACCACCAAAGAATTGATGCTTTTGAATTGTGGTGCTGGAGGAGGCTCTTGAGAGTCCCCCGGACTGCAAGGAGAACAAACCTATCCATTTTGAAGGGAAAGAACCCCCAATGATCACTGGAAGGACAGATCCTGAAGCTGACGCTCCAATATTTTGGCCATCTCATGAGAAGACTCCCTGAAAGATACCCTGATGTTGGGGAAGTGTGAAGGCAAGAGAAGAAGGGGACGACAGAGGATGAGATGAACAGTTTCACCGAAGCTACCAACATGAATTTGACCCAACTCCGGGAGGCAGTGGAAGACAGGAGGGCCTGGCGTGCTCTGATCCATGGGGTCACGAAGAGTTGGCCATGACCTAACAACAAAAATAGCTTCCCAGTGTAGTTTAATGGATAAGAGTGATGGACTAGGACTCTGGAAAATAGTTTGAATCCCCACTTGACCATGGAAACTCATTGGGAAATTGGTAAGATCTCTCTTACCTTGAAAGCCCTATTAAATGTTGCTATTAGTCATTTTCAACATAATGGCACAGAACACATATATACCTGCCATACACAATGTTCAAGTGACTGTAGTGTGCTTACTCTAGTTATGTTTATAATATTTGATTTAGCCTGAAAGCTTCACATGTCTAATATTCATTAGATTCTGCTTCTGCCACTTTGTATTAAATAGCCCCTGTCTCCTCCAGGTTCTCATTTACCTTGGATTCCTCCAACTTTCATCACATAAAATAAACATGGCTGAGGGGTGGGGTAAACATTGAATAAATAAATAAATAAACAAACTTGACAGGAATTAAACTTATTTTAATGCATGTGAATTACTACATTTCTAAAGCATATGACAGCATCACAACTTCTAGACACTGACCAGATAATTACATCTGAGATATATTTGTATAATTTTTGTAAATCTTTATGGGGATTTAACGTCTCTTGTAACTTCATAACTTCCAGAAATATTACACCTTTGGCCATATTTCTGCACATTAAGAAGGCAACTGTATCAAACATTTCTGCCAGCCATCACAAAACCCTAAACCCCAACTTCACCTAGTCTCTTCCATCGCTATGCAATAAAAAGGATGAGTAAAGAAAATTATACATTAGCAACAGCTTTTCAGTAACTTATTAACATACCTTTTGCACAGATGCCTGCATTTTTGCTTTTATTTCCTCCATAGTGAATGTTTTTGGTGTTTTTGGAGTCTGCGGTTTTTTCTCTTTATGAGACTCTGGAGCCTGAAACACAATACCACGAGTTTCTCAATAGTACGCCAAAGCATCACTTACCAACAGTATCTTAATACCTTTTGTTATCAGCCTATGTAAAGCAGGAAGGGCAAAGGTTTTTGTACCAATATAATATTACATTCTAAAAGCAAGGACCACACCATGTACATTATCTAGGTTACAGAATTGGACGTCAATACAACAGCTTTTTAAAGTATACACTTCTGTTATCAGAAATATTGATGCAAATTTTAGTATTTAGTATTTATCCTCCTAAATCTTTGTCTACAGTGGTGCTTCGCTTAACGGGCACTCCATTTAGCGACGAAACCACATAGTGACGAAGATTTTGCGATTGCAAAAGCGATGTTTCCTGTGCGGTTTTTTCATTTTGCGATGATCAGTTCCCTGTTTCGCTTACCGACCATCACAAAACGATTATTTTTAAACAGCTGATCGGCGGTTCCAAAATGGCCACCAGGTAAAAAAATGGCCGCCGGCTGTGTTCTTGCACGGATTCCTCGCATAAGAGGCAGCGAAAATGGCCACCGTATGGAGGATCTTTGCTTTAAGGTCAGTTTTTTGCCCATAGGAACGCATAAAACAGGTTTTAATGTGTTTCTATGGGCTTTTTTAAATTGCATAGCGACGAAATCGCTTAGCAGCAATGTTTGCTGCACGGATTAACGTCGCTATGTGAGGCACCACTGTATTTTACACTGTAAACTTTATAGGCTAGGCATCTGTCATACCTGTCATTTCTTCATAGGTTACATTATACAAATAAACAGCAAAACAAATATTTAACTGCCAGATCCCAGAATTCAGCACTGTTATTTACTTCTAATAATATTATAATTATTCCTATTACTTTGCAAGTCTGTGGGAAACTTACTTTCAGTTTGGGTGATGCCAACTTAGAATCTTTTCCATTCTGGTTTGATTTTGGTGTCTTCTTTGCTGATGAATCTCGTGCAGGCTAAAGTCAGAATAAATGTGAAATAACCTCACTTGAAATAATTACAGTACTTAACAAGAAATTTTAAGTGCTACCAATACACATATGGCATATCTAAGGAGAATCTAAATACACGATGGGGATTGAGTCAAAAATTTATAGTGGCCAGTAACACATGCATGGTACAAAGTTTAAATCTTATGCCACCTGAAATTACCAAATCCTTCATCTTCCTGCCTTCACAGCAAAAGTGCAGTAAGTTTTCAGACTTCTTTCATCACTGAATCAATGGAGCCCTAGTACAGCACACTTACTTAAATTTAATAAACTCTTCAGACATGTATTAGATTAATTCAACATGTTTTTCCAACCATCCCAAAGGTGTATTGGCACTGGCAATCCAAATGTGCACATCTATGGAGGAGGAACCACTATTTTTGATACCAACCATGGCAGCAAACTTCCTTTTCCCACCTCACATTTAGCTCAAGTGTATGTCTGGAGAATGATCTTGCCAAAACATGGCTGCCTCCCAATAGATGTTATTTTTGGCCATATCACTAACAGATGAATATTATCAGGACAGCCACAGTAACAGACATGCTTGCCACCATCTAGGGAGAACTACAGGTATCAATCATTTTCCACAGGTAGATGACACACTATGTAACAGTCCGCAGAAAACATTTGTAAGGACCCTAGCACTGTAATGATAGTATTGTCATTTTTAAATGTATCAAAATATAGCCAATGCTTTACAGCCTTTACATCTTTTTTTAAAGACATGGCCTCGCACAATGATTAGGTTTTAACAAAAATGAATAAAGCCACTAAAGGCTGTTAACATTCTAATTTTAACATGTCTAAAGTACTGTGGATCTATGTGTACATGCACGTCTATGTGCCCATTTTCCTCCCCAACTGAACATGCCTTCTTTCTTCATGTCGTGACAGTCATTTCAAAATATTAATTCCTATGTTTATGTGAGATCTGACTATTGTTGTGTCTGTTTCCAGGTTCACTTGTCCATTTGTATGCTACACTAGATTATCTTCCTGCAGGACCCTTTCTTAAATTATTCTGCTACGTAAACTTTTAAACAGTGAAACATTTCCTACACTACACTGCTGGTTGGAAGGTGTCTACTGCACTTCAGCATCTAAAGCAGGCTTGTCCAACCTGCGGCCCAGGTCAGCTCATAATGCAGCGCAGTGCAATTTTTTTTTAAAGAAATTCCAAAGTTTCAAGTTACACTGCCGGCGCTTGCGTCCAGAACGTGGCCAGGGCATGTCACGACAGTAGAGTGGGAGAGAGGGAAGGAAGGAGTGGGAGGGGACAGGGGGGCTGTGTGACTACATTGCGCTGGACCCGTCAATAGGTGGACCCCCTCCCGGCCCCATAAAGCCGCCGGAGTCGAAATTGGCAGCCTCTGCTGTCTGAGATCGCAGCTGCCTGTAAGCGTGCTTGGAGTGGGACTGCGGAGGACAGCTAGGGCTGCCCCCCATGCGGCCCAAACCAAATTTTCATCTTCTAATGTGGCCCAGGGAAGGTGAAAAGTTGGACACCCTGATCTAAAGCAAAACAGATCTGTTAAAAAGCAATATGTGTATGCATGCTACTGAATCCATCAGAATCAATACAAATGGAACAGGTTTTCATTCACCCCAAACATTTCTATCATACCTTTCACCTATGGAACAGTCAGATCTGGCAGATTAAATTCCCTTGTACAACCCTGAGCCCCTGATATCTATTCCAAAGATACACGACTGCAGAGCAGATATGAGGAGCATACAGGGGAGGAAACTGAAGCAGACCCTGCATCATACTGGATTTAGTTCAGACTTTCTGTAGTCTGGGAAACCAGTGCCAAGCGCTAGATTTACATTATGTAGCATGCTTTAACTTTAAACTCTAAGCTACTGAATGTTTCTTTTTCTCTATGAAACCAAATTATTTTACTTATTTAAGAATGAACAAGGAAGACAAATTTAATAAATGCCAATGTCCCTTCACAGATTGCTGCCTTGTCATGGCAAAAGGGCTTGAGTAACTCAGAGAAGCTATGGGCTATGCCATGCAGGGACACCGAAGACAGACAGGTCATAATGGAGAGTTTGGACTAAACGTGATCCACCTGGAGCAGGAACTGACAAGCCACTCCAGTATCTTTGCCAAAAGAATTCCATGGACAGAAACCAAATTCTATAAGATAATGTTGGAAGATGAGCCCCTCAGGTCGGAAGGTGTCCAACATGCTAGTGAGGAAGAACTGAGGACAAGTACAAGTAGCTCCAGAGCTAATGAAGTGGTTGGGCCAAAGCCGAAAGGACGCTCAGCTGTGGATGTGCCTGGAAGTGAAAAGAAAGTCCGATGCTGCAAAGAAAAATACTGCAAAAGAACCTGGAATGTAAGATCTATGAACCTTGGTAAGCTGGATGTGGTCAAACAAGAGATGGCAAGAATAAACATTGACATCCTGGGCGTCAGTTAACTAAAATGGACAGGAATGGGCAAATTCAATTCAAACAATTACTGTATCTACTATTGTGGGCAAGAATCCTGTAGAAGAAATTGAGTAGCCCCGATAGCCAACAAGAGTGGGAAAAGTTGTACTGGAATACAATCTCAAAATGATAGAATGATTTCAATACGAATCCAAGGCAGACCTTTCAACATCACAGTCATCCAAGCTGATGCACCAACCACCGATGCTGAAGAGGCTAAAATTGACCAATTCTATGAAGACTTACAACACCTTCTAGAACTCACACCAAAGAAAGATGTTCTCATTCTAGGGGACTGGAATGCTAATGTAGAGAGTCAAGAGATAAAAGGAACAACAGGTAAGTTTGGCCTTGGAGTTCAAAACAAAGCAGGGCAAAGACTAATAGGGTTTTGTCAAGAGAACAAGCTGGTCATCACAAACACTCTTTTCCAACAACACAAGAGGCGAATCTACACAGGGACATCACCAGATGGGCAATACCGAAGTCAGATTGATTATGTTCTCTGCAGCCAAAGATGGAGAAGCTCTATAGAGTCAAAAAAAAAAAAAAAAAAAAAAAAAAAAAAGACCTGGAGCTGACTGTGGCTCTGATCATCAGCTTCTTATAGCAAAACTGAAGCTTAAACTGAAGAAAGTAGGAAAAACCACTGGGATAGACAGGTATAATCTAAACCAAGTCCTTTATGAATACACAGTGGAACTGAAGAACAGATTTAAGGAACTAGATTCAGGACAGAGTGCCTGAAAACTATGGATGGAGACTCTACTCAAACCTCCAGTTCTAAATATTAAATAAACCTGTAAATTCAGATAGCTTAATTTCTAAAGTTATTGCAGAGTACTTTAAAAAATTTTACATCTTTTAGCTACAGCACCACCTAGTGCTTGCAAAATGTCAAATTATGTACACGCAAAAAAGATTTTTCATAAATTAATGTATCCCAGGGAGTAAGATTCATAATTTGAAAGGAGATATCTTTTAAAAATATATTCAGTTCAAAGCCATCTGGACAATAAATTTAAGTCACTGTATCTACCCAGACATCATTATAAAAATGTGGAGAAGGATAAGATATAAGGATACAGAAAGCAAAGAGAAAAATAAACAAGTTCAGATATCAGTGAAAGAGAATGGGGTAGGGAGAGACATCAGATCACACTGGGCAGGTGAACTGTGTCCATGAACATAGCAATGGTTGGGGGGGGGGGGAGAGAGTCTTATTTTGTAGGTAATTTAGGCAGGTCCATGCAATCTAAGAGAGCAATTCTTGATTCAGATAACAGTTACTGACATCGACAGATCTCCTCTCAAAAGCTTCCTTCCCCAGCACACTCAGAAGCCTATACGATATAGAACTTGGAATTATAGCCAGTATGAAATAAAGCTAGTAGGCGCACATACTAAGTAAACTCAGAAGAAATCCCCACTTAAAATGAAAAATTTACCAAAGGCACCAATGGTGGCAGAAAACAATTTATATATTACAATCACTGAAGATTTCAGATAACAGAAAAACGATTGCTCTAATGTTGTAAGTCTCCTTAAACGTTTCTATGAAAAAAGGATAAAGTACTTTCCTATTACTATCTTCAAAATTAAATCTATTACTTTATAAAACACAAGGCAAACACAGTAAAGCCATTTTAAGATTATATTTAGTTACCTTTTTTGCTGGAGTCTTCTCTTCTTCCTCATCTTCATCCAGATCTTCATCATCACTACAATTAAAGTTCATATAGATTCCTATCACATCTGACACATTTTAAAAACATACTGTTGTATGCTTTCATCTAGTTTTACATTAGTGAGATAGAGAAAAGGAATGGCCACAACTGAAATGAGAACTAGAAGACACAGTATCCCAGACCATGTTGTCTTCAGAGAAGAAATTCCCAGAATTTTACATTCTATAAACAATTTTCTGAATTCAAAGTAGTAGAGAAAATCAACCAAGTCTTATTAGACTTCTGGCTGAAATTCTGTGCTATCATGCACAGTCATTAAAAATGTAGCCATTTAAATGTAGTCTCTATAACTGTTATAAATAAAATCATATGATGATTTGGACTTAAAATTACTCCACCTAAGTATTTTTCAAAGTTACACTTGCAGTACTTCTAAACCAGCAACATTGATAACATTGATACAGCTAGAACTACTGGATTCTACAATGAACATTACACCAAGGAACATACTCTTCATCATCATCTTCTTCATCATCTTCATCGTCGTCGTCTTCTTCTTCATCGTCGTCATCCAGCTTTGCTTTTTTCTTTAAAACAGAAAATATTTAAGTACATAAAACTCATATTAATTGTTCAACTCCAACGTAAAATCTTTGAAGCAAACTGCAATCCTTAGTCAACCAATTTAAAACACTTTTGGAAACTATTTTGCACAGGTCTCTGATTTGTAGAGAAGTTTCAGTTCTATTTTCTGCACAGCTTAAATCCATAGGGCTTTTGTAAGATTCCTCTGAGTCATGCAAGCAAGAATTTGAATAATGAAACCTATAGCTTAAGACACATTTCAGATTTCATGTAACCACAGTCAGAATTAATTTCCACAACTTCAGGCTTACCTGTGGAACTTTAGCCATTGTTAGTCCTGCTGGTCTTTTTGCCATATTGCGTTGTACCTTATCATCTTCGTCATCTTCAGATTCTGGCTCTTCCTCTAAAGCTAAAATATGGAACAAAAAAATGATAGTAGCAAAACCTTTCACAACATATAATAGAACTAAATTCACTTTATCAAAGTAAAGCATGCAACTGAAAATCAGTTAAATTAAAATAAAGAAAATTTAAATGTCATTACCTACAAGATGCTGACCGCTGACATAAACTGGCCCCGAGCCACATTTCAATCTCAGAATCACTGGTGGCGTAATTTCAAAGCCACCTAATGAAACCTGAAAGACAGAATACATCAAAACATGACTGAAAGCTTACATAAAACACACAGGTTACACTGAACACTACAATATCTGAACCACTGAAATGACAAACATCACAGGTCTGGAAAATGCACTGGGGCACCATATAGCTGAAAATCAGATCAGATGAGTCTCAAAAGTTGTATAAAAACCAAACGATCAACAAAATGAAAAAACAAAATCACCGAGGCTCTCACTTCCTCTGAGGAGTGAATAACATTTTATAATGTTCCAAGTTGACAAAACTAATTCAAAAGGTGTAGAAACAGAATACCAATTAGCATTATCTATGCTAAACAAGTGAATTAAATGGTGAACCCATCTGAAAAAGACTTGAATAATGGCAGTTGGAGCTTGATCTCTCTGACCCTGCAGTTCTGCCAGCCACTGAAAAGCAGCAAAAGCCTTTCTGGGTCACATTAAAATGCCAACAAAAGTTAAGTGTGGAGAAGAATATAACAGAAACAGGACATCTTTTCTTTGCTGGGGCTCCCATTCCTAATTAAAAGATCAAAGCTGCATTACAGTTGGCAGAAAAAGATCCTTCAGCTAAAGCATGAGGCATACAGATATCTGCTCTACTTGCCTTAACGTAGTACCCCTTTACAGTTAGTTTTTGAAGCAGTAGCCATGTTACGTCTGTGCAAGAATTTTAGTAAGAAACACAAAATTAAAAAGCAGAAAAGACATCTTTGTTTTTTGCTAATATGCTTTGCACAGACTAACAGCTACAATTTCAAAAACTACAACTATAAAAGGCACTATATTAAACCATAATGTATCTCACATACACACTACAAATTAGTGTGTATTCACTGTATTCAATGTAACTTATTCTTAGATATGTAAAACACAGGACTGCAATTAGGACCTATTATTTTTCCTCTATTTTTGTCATACATTTTATTTTAAAATCAGAACAGATACTTTGGCCACATTTCATGTAACAAAAAACAATGCAACTGTTTAATGTTTCAGCTGATTACAACAAATACAACCAGACATTCCCCCTCTGAACTCAACAGCACCTTCCATTCCCAAAGGGAGCTGGGAGACAGTACAGTGGTGTCTCGCTTAATGAGCGTACCGTATAATGATGAATCCGCATAGCGATCCCGTTTTCGGGATCACTAATGCGGAGGCATAGAGTCGGCCCCAATGGGCAAAACTCGCATAGCAAAGATCGGTAAGCGTTTCGCTTACCGATCTTCGCTTTGCGACGCCCACAGATCAGCTGTTCGGCGGTTTCAAAATGGCCACCAGACGCCCAAAATGGCCGCGCGCAATGTTTTCGCGTCCTCCCCTCGCTTACCGAGGGGGCGAAAATGGCTGCCGGACCCTGGAAACTTCGCTAAATGGTTTCCCCGTTCCGTTTAGCGAAGTTTTCACATAGCGAAGGTTAATCCGTTCCAGGGCACCACTGTACTGTATAGCCTTCCCCATTTTACCTTCAGCCCCCAGCACTACATAGCTCTCATTCTGTTCTGGAAAGTTACAGAAAGCCCCCGAAGACCATGCAAAGTAGTTTCCAGGGTATCTAAAGAGTGTGCCATTCCAGCATTATTCCTGAGAGCAGAACACAGGTGAGCAAGGTTCCCGCTAAGCTGAGCACACACACAACTCAATTTCCCTTTGCAAGGGGGGGGGGTTGGAGGGACGAAATTGTGTGCAAGAGGCAGAGCCCCACCCAGCAGGGCTGAAAATTAGAGGGTATGTTGCAGGTGAGTATGTCAGAAACCCATATGTACTGGAAATATAGGAGGGGGGCATGTCAAGATGTGAAATTTTATATGTAGTGTGTTATGATAATCAAAGCAGTATAGAAAATAAAATTCCGTATTTTTTTGCTCCATAAGACGTACTTTCCCCCCAAAAAAGGGGGGGAGTCTGTGCGTCTTATGGAGAGAAGCTGGCGATTTCGCTCCCACTGGCCCCGTGGGAGGAGCCTCTCGCAAGGGTCCGAGTGAGCCTTCCAGAACCCTTGCAACACTCCCCCCCACCCCCCAGTGTCTGGAGTGTGGGCGCAATCGCCACCTCCTG